TCCCTAGGTCTAACTCTCTACCTTCATACCAGCTAAGTCCCTATATGTGAAACACTTTCCCTCAAAGTTTTCATTAGCTTGTCAACATTTTCAAGATTTTACCTCTTATCACTTACAAATGTTTCCTGAGTGAAGCTGAAGTTACGATTATTCTTCAACAGATGCCTTTTCCAATTTAGACCTGTGAATACCAACCTCGTAGTACTGTAAAAATGTATTTAATTATTCATGAGCCTGACAAGATCTGCTGTGTTCAATTGATTTGTTGTATACATAATTCACCGCCTGAGTTTCAGTCTGGATGTTTGTCTGCATTGAGCACTTCAGTTTTAGGCTATACGCTGTTAAACGGCATGCAAAAGATCCTTTTAACTTGCTGATAATAGCACTCGGTAATCAGATGATGTTCAATTTTCATTATGTCAATGGTATTTTCAGTATTATGGACTTTGCCATCCATTGTGCCAATGCTGGCAGAATACTGAACTCTATTATAGTATAAAATTTCCGTATCATTTAAGGCTTTGGATTATTGTCTTTATGGTGGAATGTCTGTGAAATTGAGTCCTGATTCCTGAGTTTTAGCCTTGGGGTTGCTCCTGAACTTGTTTTGTGACTTTCCTCAAGTCTTTAAACCTTCCTAGGCCTCAGTTACCCAAACTAGGCCATAGTTTGGGTGTTTTGCTGTCTTCTCTCTCCAGTGCTCAGTCAGGTTAGCACACTAGCTTCATTTGTAGCATTTGGGTAACACAATCAAGGTGGGATATTTGATCCTCTAAGCTGTATTTTACTGATCTGCAAGAGGCTACGATACTAGCATCACTGGATAGTTACAGTGGTGATGGAAGATTATTAATATAAACAATCTCATGACTGACGATGGTAAGAAATCAATTAGTGATCACCATCATCGAGATCTGTTTGGAAATAAGATGTAGGCAGAATGACTTAACATAAGCAGGAATTTATTCCTTAAATCCACTGAAATATACAGAGCCAACATGATCGCACAAAACTTTAGTCAGCAGTTGTCTTCTTTTATTTTCATTCAGGTCATGCGTATATTAGTAATCTACGGTTCTCAAATTTTAGTAACACTGAATAGATAATGGAGAATAAAAGTGTGGTATTTTCCCAAGATGTTACCCTTGGTTAGATAAAAACTACCTTCATCTATATTAATTTCTCTTCTTACTCTATCGTCATTAAATATATTGGTTTAAGAATTGACATGCGTTTCACTTGTATAACTTTTTTTGTTGAAAGCCCTTAATTGCAACCTTGTATCTAGAATTTTCACACATTCGTAAATAGGCTCCTCCACTTCGCATGAACAGATCTCCTAAGCGGTGTAGATTCGCGTTTTGAGCCAGAAGCCACGACCTTTTATGCAGGAAATGTGTCTAAGCCAGTACAACACCCTTCTCGAAACCCTAAAGAGGTTGGGTGCCCGGAGAGAGGTAATGTTTTATTTGAAGATGGGTTAAAGTTTGGTTCTCCTTCGTTCTGGATTCAAATCGCTCCTCGGACATTCCCTACCCGTTGCCCAGAATCCAGACTTGCCCTTTGTACCTGCTAGTGTCACAAACTGCCTGAGCGCGTCGCTCAGGCCTCTGCCCAACACAAATTCCTCTCCCCTCCCGGCGCCCTTTACCAGGCAGCAGGCCTACTGCTGGCAAAGGCTTTCCGACACTCCCATGTCCTGACCCCATTTACTTCTCGGGTCCCCGCGGGTGCCATCTGGCTGCAGAAACTAAAAGTTGGCCTAAGTCACCCCTACTCCTTGCCTTCTCCACTCGCCAAAATATAAATACCCGGCGCTGTTGGGGGAACCGGAGGCAGAAAAGAAAGAGTGAAGACGGAAAACGGCCCCGGGTCCTGGCAGCCCCTCCGCG